AAAGGGGAAGTCCTGCTGTGTCTAGGTAAGGCTGCAGACCTCACAGACACTGGGGACACAGCAGGACACTGTGCTGAGATTTAGAGACACAGTTAAGCAAATTCCTGGTAAGACACAATTTACCAAACCTACCCCAAAACAAGGTATATGAATAAACCCATATTAGTTTTAAGATTTAAATCTGTAATAAATCATTTTCCCTACCTCCACACCAAGGAAATAAAAGGCTAATTACCTTAAACAGTAAAATCATCCAAATATTTACATTAATTTTACAAAAACTCTTTTTAAAAGATCTGTTTTATAATATAATAATTATTATTATAATAATTTTTTGGTTGTTCGAGAGGGTTTCTCTGTGGAGCTTTGGAGCCTGTCTTGGAACTCATTCTGTAGGCGAAGCTGGCCTCAAACTCACCGAGATCCACCTGCTTCTGCCTCCCGAGTGCTGTGACTAAAGGCGTGCACCACCACTGCCCGGTGAGACCACTATAATTTTGATACAGGAATTGATAAGCATGTGAAGTATAGATTCTTCTTTCTTGTGGAAACAAATGCCAAACCAAGCTTATAAGACATATCCCAGACAAGCTGAATGCAGAGTAGACCTTACATTTGTAATGATCAATTTTTTTTTTGCCATATTGACAAGAAAAGAGAAGAATCATGTAAAACTCAATATCCATTATTTAGGAAAAAAGTCTCAGTGAACTAAAAATAGAAGACAATGTACTTAATCTGATGGAAAAATGTTTATCAAAATGCTGGCCCAGTGTTCAGACATTTGTCCCCACCTGGTTGCACAATTTGGAGAGGGTGTGGAAACCTTTGACATGGGAGACATAGTTGAGGGAGGTGAATCACTTGTGGGACAGCTCTTTGAGGACCCAGAACCCCAGGCTGAAGCTCTCTGCTACCCAAACACCTTCTCCAAAACTGCCAGACCAAGGCCATGCAGCTCCAACTCCTTCCCCACGAGATGGGCTCCATTTAAACTTTCCACCCTGAAGTTGGCTTCTGTCTGATATTTGGTCTCAGCAAGAAGAAAGGTTACTGCAGGGTGACTGACCTAAAAGGCTCGGGTGCTCTGGATGAGAAAGCTGACTAATAAGCCCTGTAGGCTGTTCGGAAGCCTCTGACAGGATGGACATCCTTTGAAACGGCACTGGAACTGCCCTGCAGGCAGACTCTTCCCTCCACATCCTTTTCTGCACACCTCTCTACTCCCACGTAGACTGTGGTCCCCGGTCCCGATTAAAGGATAAATCTGCTTCTGGAAATGTTTGTCTCTTTTATTTTCAAGTCGCCCCCATCAATCTAACAGTTGCTAGAACACTCAACATCCGTTACTGAGGAAAACTATAACTGAATTCAGTACAGGAAACTTACTCGCGTTAATGAAGAGTATCTGTAGAATGAGCTGAATTTCAACAAGTCCAGGTGCATGAAGAATCCAAATCATGGTTTCTAAAGCTTTGTTTACTCATGATCCCAGGTATTAGATATTTGAGCCAAATATATATGTCAAACATTTACTGGTAATAAAGCATAAAGAAATGTATTTTAAAGCACTTCTATATATCGTTTACCACTTACTAACAATTAAAGCAAATTTGAATAATAATGAGAAGGGTGTGCTTTTTTGTTTTCACATAAAGAATTGCCTCTTGGCTGAATATTTACACACATTCAATATTTTCAGAGCTTGTTAATACTTTTATAATCATCAGTGTAGAGAACACTGCCTCGCATAGCTATGTTGTCCAAAATATCAGAAGTATCTTGGTGCCAATTCAGAACCTGGAAATACTGCACTGATCCCAAAGAGGCATTCATTCAATGAATCAGCAACTCAAGCAGCTATTTAAAAAATATGTACTTACCTCTGGGGTCATGGAGCATACGTGGAGACCACAGGACAGCCAGCATGGGCTGGTGTTCTCCATCCACTATGTGGGTCCCATGGATTAAATTAAGCTCTTCAGATAGAATATAAGTACCTCTCTCTACAGAGCCATTTGTCAGCTCCTTTAAATAGTGTTGGTTTTTGTTTTGTTTTTAGTCAAACTTCCCAACACAGTACAGTCCAAATGTGTGCTAACCTGACACATGCTGAAGAATGAGAGCAAGAAAATGTCGTATTTTCCGTGATTAAGGTGTTACTTATGTACAGTAAAAACAAATACCGCAGTTTATAATATATAACAGTCTGGTTTCTAGGGTCCAGGAAGAGCTCATTGGTTCTGGGTGGAATGGTAGCATACACAATGTAAGATACAAGAGTTGTGTGTTCAATACCAAGGCGACATCATTCAACATAGGCAAGCACTGCCAGGAATGTTCTGTATTAATTACATGTTTATTTTATTTTTAATTGATTTGGAGACTGTACACATTTAAAAACATTTTCCTGTTGCCCAAGATCTGACAATCCCCACAACCTGTTACATGATCCTACATGAAACTGTGGTACAAATTCTATGCACGAAATGTAAATAAACATGTTCACTTAAGATACTCAAGAAAATTAGCTATAGTGACATTATAGCTATCTAGAGATAAGCTGAGAGTACACTCATCACCTTGGAGTATACAAAGTTTATGAAAAGGTTGTAAAAATCCATAGTCATAAACAGAAAGACAGATGAATTGTTCTATACAAAATCTGAAAGGGCGGTTTATGAGAAGACACTACCAATGACCAAGAAGGGAAGCCAGAGTAAAGAAAGACATTTCACAAATATGTCCGTAATATTAATGACCATTATTTGAAAGAACTACAAAGAGGTATGAGAAAGACAGAGATCTAAGCAAATATTTCACATTTTAAAAGTGATCTAAAATACCACTTAAATATGAAAAGTCTTTTAGGTATAGTGGATCACAGATTTAATCCCAGAACTTGGGAGACAAAGACAGGCAGATCTCTATGAGTTCAAGGCCAGCCTGGTTTACAGAGTGAATTCCGGGCCAACCAGAGATATATAGTAAGAGCCTGTCTCCAAAAATTAATAAACCATACAATATTAAAAAAACTAGGATCTCATAATTCATCAGAATGTAAATGAGCTCTGTAGCTGCTGAGGGTAGGAGAGCAACGAGGCTCCTGGTGGAGCCAACTCAGTCATATCAGAAAGTTGGTGCAGAATATTGAACTATCAAAGGTGTGTTACATTTGTTTATGATGCATTTGTTTAACAATGTAAAGATGTGTTGCTTTGCCTGACTGAGGTACCTAATTGGTCTAATAAAAAGCTGAATAGCCAATAGCTAGGCAAAGAAGGGATAGGTGTGGCTGGCAGGAACAGAGAATAGGTAGGAGGAGGAATCTAGGCTCAAGGAGGGAGAAGAGAATGAGGGAGACACCCAGGTCCTGCCAGTAAGGTAACCACCAGACAGACAGACATGGAGGAAATAGCAAAAGTAGGACATATAGCACGAAAGAAAAGGCACCAAAGTAAAAATGTAGATGAAAAGAAACAAGTTAAAATAAATTAGAAGAACTAGCAGGCTGGCATGGGACCGACCTAGGTCCTCTGCATCTAGATGGCAGTTGTGGGTCTTGATCTTTTGTGGGGTCCCTAGCAGGGGGACCAGGACCTGTCCCTAATGCATGAGCTCACTCTTTGGAACCTATTCCCTATGGTGAGATGCTTTGCCCAGCCTTGGTGCAAAGGGGGGGGGGGGGGAGCTTGATCCTTCCTCAACTTGATATGTCATGCTTTGTCGACTCCCATGAGAGGTCTTACCCCTTCTGAATAGAGACAGAGGAGGAGTGGATGGGGGGGGGGGCTAGAAGGGAGGTGGTGGAAGGGAACAGGAGGAGAGGAAGAAGGAGAACTGTGGTTAGTATGTAAAGTAGATAAAAAAGAGCAAGTGGTACAAACATAAAGTCGAGCATTCATAACTAATAAGTCTCCATGTCATGATTTAGGAGCTGTTTGGAGGTCTCAAAGAAACCTGCTACAGAAAGTAATCAGCACTTTCTGGATACAGTGTTACATAGTCTACAAGCTAGAAATTCCACCCCAAGGGATGCCAGTAGAAATGGGTGTGCATATCCACAGGAGACACACAGAACATGCTATCTGTCTCAGTCACAAAAGTGTGTATTAACACGCTTCCCTTTGAGAGTCCCTCCTGAGCTGCAACAGATTAATCTGATTATCCCTATGTTTTTCTCAGGGCACAGGGAGAGTGATGTGACATAAATACATGAGGCACTGGTAAATATGAAATTAATTATGGTTTTGGGAAGGCCGAGGTTCAGGTCCAAAAAGAAACAATGGGGAAAGTCATCTGTAAGAAAAGAATGAGGGCTTCTATCACTTCTTACTGCAGGGAGCTTTGTTGGCCCACTGTCGGTCTGGAAGCTCAACTTTTAAAAAATTAAATTTGAAAGCAATCCACTCACATAAAAATTTGAAGGAAAAAACAGTACAGAAAGATATAATAAAAGCCTACTTCCCCCTTAGTCTCTCAAATACAACTGTTGATTTTGTGCACGCTTCAAGGACCACGTATCCTTAGAGACTGTCACAGACACGTACCTTCCATTGCTTACCTCCGTTCCCTAAAGGGTGCACTGCAAATACCAATCTGCACCTCAGTTTCTCTCTCACACCCTTTGCATACGTGTAGCTTCACGTCACCACTGATGGTGTCATTGTACAATCCCACAGCCATAATCATGTTTGATGCTTCCCTGTTCAGTGATAAATGACAGACATCTTTCAAAAAACTATCTTCTTGTAGTTTCCTTAAGGTAATTTCCCAACAGCCAAAATGTGGGGTTGGGAGCACGTGATTCTTAAAAACCCTCACTTTTCCCCTTTGGCTGTAGGGGAGGAAACTAATTAATAGTTAGGTTTCGGTACTCCTACTTCCCTTTTTTGGCTGAAGATGCACTCGTGTTTTAGAAGAGCAGTTTCCCAGATAGTCTCACTGGAGCTGATGAGAGCTGTGCACTGGCTACTGTGAAAGCTGCTACCTGTGAGGAAATGCCTCCATCAGTCTTGCCCTGGGTTGTCTTCACGCTGCTGTGGCTGACTCCACCGGTTGTGAGTGAGTAGACACTGTGGGTCTGGAGTGGGTCGGGCAGCATCCATCTCTCCCAACACAGGCCTGGTTGTCTCCTGCATTTCAGAGCCACAGAGTTCCCCCATGTGAGGCTGTATTCCCCAACTTTCTACACTGCTCAGGATTTCCCCCTCCTGATCTCAAGGAAAACAGTCCCGGGTGGAAAATGCTTCAGCCGGCAGAGGAAGAGCTGCGACAACAGCAATGATTGAAGTTTCACCTGGTTTTCTTTTCTTTCACAAATGCTTTGTGAAGAACAGAAAGTGACTTGCACTTGTTTGTTCACTCTTACTCACGTGACAGCTTTATTCGACTCCCTTCTGTGCCGGGCTATTCCTGGTCTTGTGTGTGAGCTGACCAGGGATTCACATAGAGGACAGCTCCGTCTGCACATTCATGCCGGCCAGAGATGGACTGGGCACAGAGAGAACACTGTGGAAGTCAGAGGTGGCCACATGGGAAATCAGGAAGGGGAGGGCACCTACAGCAGCTGACAATGTTACTGCTCATGGATACACACTTCTGTCAGTTCATACCTACAAAATGTTTGCTTTTTACTAAGTTTTAAATATTGGAATTAAATGTGGGTCCACATAGTAAAAAAAAAAAATCTTAGACCCCATCTATGTGCAATATTGTACACAATGCTGAAGACGGTGGGATGTTTCATGCCCACGAAGAAAGCAAGTGCTTTCAGCAAAGCCAGTGAGGAAAAAAAAAAAAAACAGTTGGGAAATGTAATTCCAATTAAACAAAGTCCCAGTGGGTGGCAGAGACAGGCAAGTATCTACACACAAATCAACTGGTAAATAGCTCATGAAACACAGGGGCTGGGCAGTGGATGGGGCAAGGACCCCACAGCTGCAATGAACTGTTATCTCAGAAACAGAAGCACATCCTGGCATGGCACAAGAGGGGCAGGAGAGGCGAGGGTAGAAGAAAGAAGGGGAGGGGTAGAGAGTGTCACTATGGTACACGGGGATGCAGGGTCAGAGTTTGGATTCAAAACTGTGTTACTACCTACTAGCCACTTAACCATGTTCTTGCTCCCTCTCTCCCTGCCTTCTTTCCTTCCCTCCTTCCTTCTTTCTTTCTTTATGGAAAATGGATCCTTTTCTCACATATTATAACCTGATTATGATTCCCCCTCTCGATATTCCTCCCAGTTCCACCCCATCTCCCCTCCATGCAAATCCACTCTCTTTCTGATTCTCATTAGAAAAGAACAGGTTTCTGAGAGATAATAATAAAGTATCGTAAAATAAAATACAATAAGGTAAAACAAAAACTATTACATTGAAGTTGAACAAGATAGACCAACAGAAGAAAAGACCCAAGAGAAGGCACAAGAATCAAAGACCTTCTCATGCTCAGGAATCCCATGAAAACACTAAACTGGAAGCAATAATATATACTCAGAAGACTTATACCCAGTGTAGCCCTGTGCAGGCCCTGTGCGTGCTGCCTCAGTCTCTATGAGTTCATATGAGCTCTTCTCATGTTGATTCAGAGGCCGTGTTCTCCTGGTGTCCTCATCCCCTCAGTCTCTATGAGTTCCTATGAGCTCTGCTCATGTTGATTCAGAGGCCGTGTTCTCCTGGTGTCCTCATCCCCTCAGTCTCTATGAGTTCATATGAGCTCTGCTCATGTTGATTCAGAGGCCGTGTTCTCCTGGTGTCCTCATCCCCTCTGCCTCTTACACTATTTCTGCATCCTCTTCTGCAGGGTTCCCTGAGTTCTGGGGGGAGGAATTTAAAGAAGACATCTTATTTAGCTCTCTCTCTCTCTCTCTCTCTCTCTCTCTCTCTCTCTCTCTCTCTCCAGGCTGTGGGTCTCTGTATTTGTTCCCATCTACCGCAGGAAGAAGCTTCTCTGATGATGGCTGAACATGCACTGATCTACGAGGATAGCAGATTACCATTAGGAGTCACTTAGTTACTACATGCATACATACATACATGCATTCATACATACACATACATACATACATTAGGAGTCACTTAGTTACTATATACATACATACATACACACACATACATACATCCATTAGGAGTCACTTAGTTACTACATACATGCATACATACATACACACACATACATACATTAGGAGTCACTTAGTTACTACATACATACATACATACATACATACATGTATATGTATATATTAAGGCCAGTAGTATCTCTGGACTACCTAGTCTCTAGTTTTTGGTCACCCATGAAGTTCAGTGTTGGGTCTGGGTTCCGTCTCGTGGAGTGGGCCTTAAGTCAAATCAGTTACTGGTTCATTACTTACACAAGTTTTGTGCCACCATTGCCGTAGCATGTCTTTCAAGCAGGACACCACTGTATATCAGAAGGTTTGTGGATGGCTTGGTTTACAGCGTGAAGCGTACCTTCCTTTACCAAAAATGCTAGAACATTGGAGTAAAGGCTCTGTAGGCACCAGTTCAACATCTCAATGTTCAACGAGTTGTGTGGGTACTGTCTTCATCAATGGGGCCTTGCTGCCAGATTGAGGAAAGCAACCTATAGTCTTGTCAGCAGCCTGGGCTGTTTGGAGATTCCCATGGGATCCCTTTGTCCAGCAACTCAATTAGATATAACCCAGGCCTAGTAGTAGAAGCTTTGCTTGGTGACAAAAGATGGCCTGTGGGACTCTGTCTCCCCCATTAGTTAGTAATTTCACTTAGACTGTCTCCATATATGTATATATTTTAGGAAGCTTCTACTGCATTAGTTTCTCATACTACCCCTTAAATGCCATTTAATTTTAATTGTCTCTCCCTGTATTCCCTCCTTTCAACCTCCTACCCCTCCCTCTCCCCACTTGATCCTCCCATTCCTGCCCCCTTCCATCCATCCATCCATAATTATACATTCTATTTCCCCTTCCTAATGAAATCTATCTGTATCCTCTAGTCCCTTACTCTATACCTATACACTGTGGTTCTATAGATCATAGCTTTGTTATCATTGACTTAATAGTTAATATCCACATATTAATGAATACATACTCACTCAAAATGATTTTTTCTAGTTTTCTCCATTTGTCTGCAAATTTCATGATGTTTGTTTTGTTGTACTTTGTTTTTGTTCTTGTTTTAAATGGATGGATAATACTTCATCGTATAAATGTACCACATTTTCTTTATCCATTCTTCTGTTGAGGAGTTTCTAGATTGTTTCAAATTTCTGGCTATTTTGAATAGAGCAGCAATGAACATGATTGAGCAAGTGTCTGTGTGGTAGGATGAAGCCCAAGAGTGGTATAACTGAGTAGTGGAGTAAATCGATTCCCATCTTCCTAAGGAACAGCCACACTGGTTTCCACAGTAGCTCTACAAGCTTGTACTCCCACCATCAATGAATGAGTCTTCCGCTTATTCAACATCCTCACCAACATGAGCTGTCAGTTGCTTTATTGATCTTGGCCATTCCAACAGGTGTAAGATGGAATTCCAGAGTACTTTCGGTTTACATTTCCCTGATGGCTAAGGGTGTTAGACATTTATTTCAGCTAAACAACTTTCTTATCTATGAAATGGCACTTAAGTTATAATGTTACTGACAAAGACTATATGAAATGATATGTGTAATTGCATACCAAGTAGGAAGTCCTCAAATACAAAAGCTATGGTGACCATGGCATGTGGGTAATGGCGACTACTCACTTGGTCTCAATAAAATACTAGGATTTAAGTTACCCTTCCATCATCTCCAAGGAGACAGGGGATGTGTCTGTCACTCACAGATGGCATTACAGAAAATTCTTTCAAGTGAAAGAATCAAATCCATCCTTTCTCTGGATCATTTATAAATTAATAAACCCGCTAAGTTTTGCCACCTTTCTCTCCTCGTTACTCATGTCTCCAACCTGGCCTGTTTCTACCATCACTAGCCTAGTTTGTTTGTTTAACTGAGTCATTATTCCAAAAAAATCTCATAGCTCTTCCGTTCCACATCAGGCCTTCCGATGGAGAGCAGCCTTACAAATGAGCAGTGAGCATGCACACAATACAGATAAGCCTGGGTAAATACTCTGAAGAAAGTTAACCTTTGCATCACCCAGCTACAGTATTTCCCATCCTCTCTGTGGAAGGCTTCTTTCTGCCAGAACACTCCGTCAAAGCTTCACCTTCTGACTTCATCACATTCCTGTGAGCTCTTTCTATGGTTCCCCGTGGCTTCTACAAGAAAACGGGAGCTACTCACGTGGCCCTGCCTTCCTTCCCAACTATATTTCTCTCATCACTGCTCACCTGCCACAGCTGCTCAGGCCACTTCTGAACACCAACACCCTTTCTCCTGTGCCTCTCTTGCCTTGATCACCCTCTCTGTGTTCTTAGGCCAGACATAAGCATCAACCTTCACTTGGATGGTTCCCGTGTTCTTGGTCATAATTTCCTTTGCTATCATTGCACCTACCTTTCGTATTATACTTGATGCCAGAAAGTAGCACTTTTAAATTTATCTTTAAAGTTCAAGGGCAATATCTTTATATATACAGACATATGACAAACAGTTGTCAGCATTTTTATAAATAAATTTTTCATGAGAAGTAGTAAAATGGATATGGAAAGACATTATCTTTTTGAATAAGAAAAAGAAAGTTCTTACTTGTACTTTCATCTCTAACTCTTGACTTTATTGTTTATTTTTGTTTCCAGCTCCTGTCAATAGACAATATGGTGAGTCCTTTCTTCTGCTTTGTGAGTCCTTGGTAAGAGTTTCTCCCTAATGTCTTGTATTTTCCAGCTAATGATGATGGGCTTTAGTGAAATCGTCTTCTATGAAACAAGGCAGTTAAGTGCATGATCTCTCGGGCTTTTCTAGTGTCAAAACCTGATCATAAAATTACTTTTTTTTTTTTAGGGAAAATGCAAAGTTGTGATTTTAATGATTCTGTAGTTCTTTTTGGGCTTATGAATGATGAGATGGCAAAGGAAGAGGTGTTTTATCTAGGGCCCTCTTCCAGAGCAGGCTAGTTAACCACTGATGTTACAGTAAATCCTGCTTTCTTTGCCCTCAGAGATTGTCTTGCCAGATTGCCATCAATGGGCAATCACTCTTCCCTGTGGGTGGTGAGTGCAGCCTTCAGTCGTCAGTGAACTTGGGGGGTAGGGCTCTTGGGAATGGCCCAAAGCCAGGTCCTCCCTGTCTATCCCACAGGGCCATCAGTGAACTTGGGGAGCACGCAGCTCCGGGAATGATCCAAAACCAGGTCCTCCCTGTCTATCCCACAGGGCCATCAGTGAACTTGGGGAGCACGCAGCTCCGGGAATGGTCCAAAGCCAGGTCCTCCCTGTCTATCCCACAGGGCCTTTCTGAGGCTGAAACTGTGACTTCTCTGCTACAGACTAATTTTCTCTCATCCTCAGAAACTGTACCCAAATCTGTGATTTCTCTTGAGCCTTCATGGACCACTTTCTTTCAAGGAGAGACAGTGACTCTGACTTGCTATGGATTTGGCTTCAACTTACCCCAGAAAACAAAATGGTACTGGAATAGCAAAATAGTAGAAGAAATCCAAGGACACACCTTCAAAGTCCGCATGTCTGGAGTGCACCAATGCCAAGCCGACAACTTTCATCTAAGCATCCCTGTGCACGTGCGCTTTTCCAAAGGTGAGATAGAAGAGAAATAAAGCTTCCGACCCCATTCAGTCCAGTTTTCTCTACAGGTTTAATTACTACTCACCACAAATGAACAACCCGTTCTATTTCGTGCCATGAAAACTTAATCTTTGTGTAAAATCAGATATAGAACAGAATTATCTTAAATTTAAACCAAAAAATTAATAAAATTTAAATTGTCTGTATAAAATCTAGTCTGTCTAGTAGGCAGTAACTTCAAGTAGTATATACATAAGGTATAGTTGTTACTAACAGTTAATTTAGTTCAACATGAGTCAAATACATCCACTCACTTCTATCCCTGTGGTCCTTAAAATTTGGCCTGAATCAGACTCTTTGTAACTACACAGAGACTTGAGACTTACCCTGTATTTACAGACTCAAAACTTGATTGTTTTTAAGATTTATTTATTTATTATGCATAGAATGTCCTGCTGGCATGTATGCTTACATGTCAGAAGAGGGCACCAGACTCCATTACAGATGGTTGTGAGCCACCATGTGGTTGCTGGGAATTGAACTCAGGACCTTTGGAAGAGCAGGCAATGCTCTTAACCTCTTAGCATCTCTCCAGCCCAAAACTTGATATTATTGAACCCCAAGAATATGTAGTTTTTATAAACTGCTCATGGAGAAGCAATAAAACTTTAAATATTAGATAGAAATAAATTGATTGATTTTTTTTAATAGATACACGAAGGGGGGAGGGGTCAGGGAGGGAGGCATTTTCTCTTTTGGTCTTGAAACCTGATCTGAAGTTGAAGTAGTGTCAGCCTGTGACAACTGCCTTTGATTTAGTAAGCAAGAAAAGACACTATTAGCAAGGAAAGGGGAAAAGCTATGCTTTTTGGTCTAATGATCCCTTGAACACTTACCTACCTACTGGAGTATACAAATCTACACACCCCAAAATGAAGGACCCTAAATGGACAGGAAACCTTATTAAATTATATTGCTGGTAGAGAGGGAAAACTATGGCTACTGGAAATCAGTTTGCATCTTGAGAAATAAAGTACTAGCCAAATAAACTAGCAAGTAGATACAGATTATTAAAATCCCCTAAGAGAGAAAAAAAATACAGAACCTCAGGTACACCAACATGGGAGAAGGAACTGGAAAATTGCATTCCCAATGGTGACAGAAACTTTTTAACTTACCTTCTGCTGCCCCGCTTTTATCAAACTGCAGATATGTGTTTGAAACTCAGAAAAAGAACTAAGAACACTTTCTCTAGTTCCACTTCTTGTAAAACCTACTTGGACAGTAATGAAAAAGGAGAATGAAAAAGTGATGGCCTGCTATGTTTCACAGATCCATTGGTGCTTCGAGGCCCACCTGCTGTGTTTGAGGGAGACTCTGTGGTTCTGAGGTGCGATGCAAAGAAAAGTACATCACAAAAGATCCCGACATTTTACAAGAATGCGGTCCCTCTGCAATCATCTGGTCGAAGTTCTGAGCTCGTTATTCAGCATGCAGATCAGAGGGCCAACGGTCAATACCACTGCACTAAGAAGGGGTTTGGGTCCAAAATTTCTTCCAATACAGTCAGAGTCCAAGTCCAAGGTACAACTTTAACTATTCTGAACAGATTTTTAGTCATAGGCAGGCTCTCTGTGTTTGTAGAGGAAGAATAGGAAGGAAGGGTGGACTAGAAGTCCACTGAGAGAAAAAAACACAGTCTTTTGGATGGAAAGATGTTGGTAACCAAAAGCGGCACCTCTCTTTTGCCAGCGTTTGGTGAGCAACACCACTCCACATGCTGGTGCTGAGGATGAATTGGGGTTTTCTGAAGAATACTTAACTGTAGTGTAATGTTTTACTCTTTTGGCTTTTTGGGAAATCCACCACCAAGTTCACAAATAAATCACTCATGGAGGCTTATTCTTAGTTATGACTGCCCGGCCTTAGTTTGTCTTGTTTCTTGCCAGTTTTTCTTAAATTATCCCATCTAGCTTTGGCCTCTGGGCTTTTATCTTTCTCTGTCCCTGTCTTCTTTCCTTCTTACTTTGTGACTGGCTGTGCAGCTGTGTAGTTGGTGGCTGGCCCCTGAAGTCCTCCTTCTTCTCTCTTTCCCAAATCTCTGCTCCAAAATTTCTCCTCATATTTCTCCTCTCTGCCTGCCAGTCCCACCTATTCCTCTCTCCTTTCTCCTGTTCCTTTCCCTTACCCTTGTTCCTGCCTCGCTGTTGGCCGTTCAGCCCTTTATTTGACCATCAGGTGTTTTAAACTGGCATAGTAACAGAGCTTCACACAGTTAAACAAATGCAACATAAGCAAAAGTAACACAGCTTAACATCATATTCCCCAGCACGGACCTGCTCAGTGGATGATTGTGGTTCTTTCTAGAATTATTCCCACGTCCTGTGCTGATGGTCAGACCCTCTGAACTCATAGATGGAAGCCCGGTGACACTGGCCTGTCAGACTCAGCTCCCTGCACAGAAGTCAAATGTCCAGCTCCAGTTCTGTTTCTTCAGAAACCTCCAGGCTCTGGGGTCAGGCTGTCACAGCTCCTCGGAGTTTCACATCCCTGCCATATGGACTGAAGATGCAATGTGGTACCAGTGCACTGCAGAAACAACGGATGCCCAAGTAAGCAAACGAAGCCTGCCAATCAGAATTACTGTACAGAGTGAGTATCATTCTGAGATTTCCCTGGTATGGACTGGTTATGCAGAAGGGCACACCAGCTCGGATCACTAGTCTCTATAGAAAGTACTTCCTCATGCTTGTGGAAGGTGAATGGGGAAAAATATGAAACTCGTGTGGATATCCTTGATGCTCTTTGAACCAAGAAAAGAAGGGGGGTTGTTCTTTGTCTCTCAATGCCTTTAGAGAGAGAAAGCTACTTCTTAATCTCCCAGACATGTTTTCCTCCTAGTGCTATAGTCCTAAGCTGTGAGCTATGGGGCAGCCTTGGATGAATGTTCTGCTCGGCCAAACAGGTTTCTAGAATACTAGGTCCCTGGTACAGGCTACTTAAAGGCAAGAAAAACAAAGGATGAACTCTTGGCAAATAAACAATTCCACCTTGATGCCCTTAGAGATGGTGTTACACACACTATCACTTTTCCCTGAGGCTCTAAAGCAACATCACTTTATTAAGCATGACTGTCAGCCTGTGACTCTGCCTGACTGAATTTGGTCCAACACACAGGAAATCTAGTTGAGCACAGTAGGGGACACATGGTCTAAGCTATCACGAGTGCGGAGGGAAGGAAAGTGACAGCATTACCTGTAAACTCGCTCCCATTCCTAAGAAAACCTTATCGATCTGTTCATGGCTGTAGGGAATGGGTGTTCCTCTGGCTACTGGAGGATGGACAGGTCAGAGAAACCAGTCGGCATGCTGTCCAACAGTCATATCAGTGGTTCCCAGCACAGTCTCTCCTTCAACACAACAATGCTTTCCACCCTCTATTCAACTACTATATTTTGTTTTTTAGATTGAAGACTAATTTAAAAGGCCACTGTCCTCAGCCAACATGCCTAAAACTGTCCCCACACAGATACCCTTCCTTGGATTGCGCGTCTATCCTGGATGCGCCTGACAGATATACTAGAGAAGTTAAGAAATGCCAACTTCAGGGCAGCTTATTATTTACACCAATGCCCCATTCCCAATCAACTGTGCTGTCACTATACTCGGGACAGTCATGTTTGATGTCAAGTCCCCCTTTTCCCTTCACCTCTCCACCAGTTTTGCTAAGTGTGGAGCACTAGGTGACATCTCTAGAACTGCCCTATCAGGATGGGAAGACATGAGGTTAATTTGGGCAGAATAGCCTATATTCCTGGTCCATATTTTTGACAAGGTCATTGAGGAAAACGGGTCCTTTTCATTAGGCAGAAAACAGTCTCTGCCCTCTTTCCACTTCCCAGAGAGCAGCCTAACTCTACTCTCAGGCTGCTTCTCACATGTTCTGCCTCTCCCGCCCCTCATTTATGAGCATCCTGTCACCAAATGCCTCACACGTGTCATTTTTATTTATTTAGGAGCTTTTGCAGACTTCCAAATACACATCGTCCCAGCCTCAAGGTTAGTGTTTGAAGGGCAGTTGCTGTTATTCAACTGCTCAGTAAAAGGGGTCCCAGGGCCCATCACACTTTCCTGGTACAAAAGAGACAAGCTGAATAAGGAAACAAAGATCACTAAGTCCTCAGAGGCAGAATTCAAGATCTCCAGGGTAAACAGCAGTGACGCGGGGGATTATTACTGTGAAGCCAACAACAGTCGCCGAAGCTTTGTCAGCAAGGCAGTCGCCATCACCGTAAAAGGTACGTGTTGCCAGGCATCCTCTAGGAATGGATCCTAACTGCACAGAGCTCCTTAGCGGGACTCAAGACAGTTGGGCGGAAGTGGATATTGTCAGTTACCAATAATCCAATGTTCTGAATAAGCTACCAACCATACTCAAAGACTAACAGGAAAAACTTAGGAACAGAAGGGACTGAGGGAGGTGGGAAGTCTCAGAAAGTCAAGTTGAGGAAAATGCTCAGTGGTTAGGAATACACCTTTCATAAACCACAGATCACTTCTCAGTTGAAATGAGATGACTCCTCATAAAGGAAAACCAGGGGGAGGCTAGAAACATACATCTTGGGAGAGATACCTCCTGACAAGCCTGCTTACGTGAGCCCTCACTGCTGTGTCTTCAAGTCCTGGCAGCATGCTCTTTTCCTATCCCCAGGCTCCTACAGTGAGATGCTGTGGAGAATGTGGTAAGAGCTTCACCAGGAGGCCAAGAGAGTCCCTCCCTCCTTCTGACCCAAGCTCCATCTATTGGTTTTATCATGAGACTGAAATCCTAAGGCCCCCAGACCTCAACACCTCTCTCTGTTCACTGAACATTTGAACTATTATTCCTGTGCCCAGGCAATGGAGCAGGGAGAAGCTACCTTCCATCAGAAGTAAGCAGCAGTTTTCAAGATGAGGTCACATCCAGGAAAGGTCACACCCAGGACAGGTCACACCCAGGACAGGTCAAACCCAGGACAGGTCACATCCAGGACAGGACAGGCCACATCCAGGACAGGCCACACCCAGGACAGGTCACATCCAGGACAGGCCACACCCAGGACAGGACACACCCAGGACAGGTCACACCCAGGACAGGTCACACCCAGGACAGGTCACATCCTGGATCAGGTTCCATACTCCAAAAGGCAAGAGCTCCTATCCACAGTGACTCCTTACCTCCCCCTGCTCAGCTGTAAATAGAGAGGAACATTCTGGTTACCTGGGAACCAGAAGGAAGGACCTCAGGACAGCACCCTGGAAGAGCGTGTGAATTCAGAAAGGAGAATATCCTGGAGCGAAGCACTAGCGACACCAGAGACTGCCATGGAGTCTCAAAATGCAGGAGAGCGAAGAGTTGATCTGGGAAAGGACATCAGTTCCGTGGTAGCAAAGCACAGACACCTCCCCTCAAGGCATCATTTCTGTAAAATGGAGGCCAGTCAAATAAGGAGCCAGGAGGGCCAAGGCCCGAGGGTGGGTGGGAAAGGAGCAGATGAACAACCAGCATGACTTTCTAGGGTTTTCATGACCCTCTTTCCAGAAATCCATTAAGCAAATGGGCTTGCATTATGTAGTTTTCTAGACTTTTGTTGAATAGTAGTGGTAAGAGATATGTCAGGTCCTAAAGAAACCCAGAATGAATGGCTAACTGTGGTGCCTATTAGCATACCAAAGTGTGTGCCGGCCTCCAGGATCTCTCTGGGCAAGTACTGCTGCAGAGTCCCATCCTGGCTCTTCTCAGTTCTTCTCACCCTGCCCCCTACCCTAAACTTCTCCAGCCCATGGACTTCCCTTCCCCCAACTTCTCATTCCTATGTAACCCTGCCATTTGGGCCATTCACTCCCTTGTCTCACCCTTCTTGGTCCTCCTCTCTCACCCTTGCCCTCCTTGAATGGCCCAGCTCACTCTGATGGCCTGTTCAGTCTACTTCCTCTTTGCGTTCTTCGGCTTTCCCACAGGTCTCTGGCTGTACTATCCCTCATAACAAAAACAAAAAACAAACAAAAACCTTCTCTTCAATCATACCTTAGAGCAAGTGGTCACACCCTCATTTTATTCAGTATACAAATCCTGGTTGATCATTATCAAGGCCACTTGTTAACATCAGAAAAGACTCACTGGAAGAACAAATTTGCTTCTATTTGTACTTGGATCTTTGTTCAGGAGAAAGTAAAAATCCGGTGGTGGTTGTTGTTTTTCAAAGCAATAGAACATATTGTTGAAAACTACTGGTTCTGATGTGCCAGCCTGTTTATAGCACGAGGAAAGGGGCCAGGAGTCCTAGGTAAGTGAAAATTTGTTGCAAGGCTATCTTGAGAGTAAGGAAAAATAAGAAATACTGCATAGCCAATTCAGAGAAGAACTAAAGATTTCTCACAATAGAATATATTTCTCAAAATAGAATTGTTGGTTTTTTTTGTGAGGTTTTTGACATTCAGTAAGCCAGAAGTCTCCATTATTCTATTAAGCCCTCCAATTATCTTCTTCCTGTATTTTCCTATCTCTGTTGCCCTTGGTGCTGAGTGCTTTGATCTCATTTTCCCCAACCTCATGACTTCTGCTTCATAAGGCTTCTGATAGCCCCAGAATCTACTGGGGCTCCACTGCACTGAGTTTTTTATGTATTAGAGTCTCATCACTTTTAGGATTATGCTGACTTTCCCTGTCACCTAGCAGGAAGAACCCAGACAGTACCCTGTCCCTTTAAGAGACAAGCTCCGCCCCCTTCCAATCTCAAACTCATTTTTTGGCCCACAGCTCTGTCTCTCTCCCCTCTCCTCTCTTCTCTGTCTCTGTCTCTGTGTGTGCCTCTCTTTCTCTCTGTCTGTGTCTCTCTCGGTCTCTCTATCTCTCTCTCTTTCTCTGTCTGTGTCTCTCCCTTCCTCCCCTACCATCCCAATACACTCTTCTTAAATAAACTCTACATTCAAGTTCTTTTTGCATCATGTATTTGGTTTCCCTCCTGAGTTCCTCACCTGCCATAGGACATACCAAGGTCCATCTCACGCTGAATCTTTCAATTACTGTGATAAAGAATTGACCACGACCAGGTTGGGGAGGAAAAAGTTTATTTCAGCTTACAGTCTGCAGTTCATCTTCCAGGGAAGCCAACGCAGAAGTTTGACACCAAAGCCACAGAGGAGTGCTTTCTTCAGTAGCCTAGTACCAATTACCCAGGCATGGTACCACCTACAGTATACTAGGCTCTCCCACAGCAATTATTATAATCAGAACAATACTTCAGTTGGGGTTTTAACATTGCTAAGGTCAAAAGCAGATTATAAACCAGTGTGTAGATTGTGATCTCACACGTGTCGATGTGTGTTGATGTGAGTGTACTGACACAGAGGAAAGATACAAAAAAATCTAGCTGTGATGGTGCAGAGCTATAATCTCAGCACTTGGAGGACTACAAGTTAATGTTCAAGGCCAGCCTGGTCTATCTAATCAGACTTTATCTCATGGGGAAAGAAAAACAATGGAGAAGGGAAGAAAGAAAAGGAATGGAGGGGAAAGCCATGAAATACTAAACAGATGTGAGCCCTAGAAAATGAAAATACATGACAAAAATTCTCATTGTGAATTTATTTTTTTAATATATTGGGGTTTTATTTAAAAATAAAAGACACTAGTATGAACTAACTCATTCTCTCCCTTAGTTCCAGTGGCCCGCCCTGTCCTCACACTTGGGGTCCCTGGAGCCCAAACTGTGGTGGGGGACATGCTAGAGCTTCACTGTGAGGCTCTGGAAGCCTCTCCTCCAATCCTGTACCACTTTTATTACCAAAATGTCACTCTGGGGATCAGCTCAGCCCTTTCTGGAGGAAGAGGGTCCTTCAACTTTTCTGTGACTGCAGAACATTCTGGAAACTTCTTCTGTGAGGCTGACAACGGCCAGGGGCCCCAGCGCAGTGATACTCTGGCTCTGAGTGTTATAGGTAAGTTAACTTCAAATTAGCCGTACAGGGGCAGATCATCTCTCTACCATGTCCAGGAGGCAAGGTTGGGATGTTTTTCACAGAAGCAGCTACTGTGTGATGTCACAGCAAGCCTTCTGCCTCCGCAGTCTCTTTGGGTCTTACATACTGAAGAATTTGTACCTTTCCTCCATTAGCCTTATCCTGCCTGATAGCATCACTCTCCATCCATTGTGACCAGAAATGCCATCTACCAGAGGATGAAGGCTTGTCTGGCCAACAGTCTTAGGTGGAAAGGGAAAGTTCAGTGTGTTCTGTTAACTGTGCTACTCCTTAAGATGAATCTGTACCCATCATCTGGGTATCCTGTATCCCTGGGTATCCCTGATGGTCCTAAACTGAAGACCCTGAAGGCCTGCGTGTGTTATATCCCACTCTTCTTGAAAGCTCCTCAACTGGACATCTCTGGAAGGGATATTCCACTCAGGGTTGGGCTTCTTCAGGCTGTCTCTGCACATGAGACTCTTTCTTTCATCCAGATCCCTAGGGAAGAGTCCCAGGGATCTTCCCTGACACTTCTCTCCCTCCCTCCTCACAGCAAGTCCTACTGATATTCCTTCCCAGGTGTTCCTTAGATTTTTCTCTATTTCTCCCTGCCATCAACTAGCCAAATCCACCATTAATTCAACGACTGAAGTGCCACTCAGCGCCCCATCTGCTCTTCTCCTGCCCCACTTCCATACATTTCCATGCCTTTCCACTGTTTGATGAAGAGTCTCTGGCCTCCTATTGTATCACACTTACTGGGCCCTTTAACTGTGCCTCTACCTGTTGCAGCAACTCAAATGGGCCGGCTTAGCTCCCATCCTCAACCTCTGCACATACTGCCTGCTCCATAACCTCTCCATGGAGTCCCTCCGCGCTAGATCCGGCTAGCTATTTCACAGCAGGTCTTGGCTTTTCTGTCAAGCCCACTTCTTTTCCTAACAGGCCTCTCATTTCTCAGAGGCCCAGCTTTCAGTTGTGTCTCTATTTTCAGATTCCTCAAACATGTTTGTGTTTTTGTGTTGTTACTTCAAAACACATCCAACATTACACATACATTCTCATTCCCCAAGACTGGAATAAATTATAGATGAGTTTTAAGAAAGCCTCTAAAGAATAATATAAGACATTTTGCAGTCCAAAAGGCCTTCACTGTAGAGGGCTGTGTTCAGACGGAAGGAACCAAGGGCTGCTTTTCTCCCTCAGCTTCAGTGCTGTCGTCCTTCCTGCCCTAATCTTCAGGGTCTCTGGGGTCCCAGCTGTGGTAGGGGACATGGTAAAGCTTCATGGTTTCCCCCTCTCCAATCTTGTACCATTTTTATCACCCTAGGGAGCAGTGCAGCCCTCTCTGAAATAGGAAAGTCCTTCAACCTCTGTCTGAATATGAAACACTTAGGGAACCACTCCTGTGAGGCTGGCCATAACCCGGGGTCCCAGCACAGTGAGGCATAGTGACAGTCGCTGTCACAGGAAAGCTGGAACAACCAAACACTGGTCAGCACCCACTCCTTCCAGCAGCTGACCGCAGGGGCTGTTTCCTGACTTGGGGTCTCAGTACACAGCTGACCGCAGGGGCTGTTTCCTGACTTGGGGTCTCAGTACACAGCTGACCGCAGGGACTGTTTCCTGACTTGGGGTTTCAGTACACATAGTTCCTTTCACCTTTCACTATCCATTCAAATCTTTTGGCCCCTCTTTTCTTTACCCCCTCTTTTTTCTTCCCAACAAGTCTCCTCCTACTTTCTTACCTTTATTTATTTTTTGCTCTACACTTAATCAGGGTTCCTGCACAAACATGAGTTAGGATCATTTACTTAAACAAGGGTAACTTACCAGATGCCACACTACCAGGAAATAAAGCACAAAGTATTTTTATAACAGGATCACATTGCACATTTAGCTATAAAACCTCTATTTTTAATTTATAATGAATTCTTTACCCAGTCTCTCAGGTTGTCTCCAGGTTTTATTGTGTAACAGAAACATTACCATAGAAATCCTGCAAGAACTGTACACATGTAGTTATATTTATAATATATAATATATATTGCTATATAATATATTAGCATATTTATAATAAATGTATTATTGAAAACAAGTTTTTTCCACATACACACTAAATAGGCCTTAAAAACACAAAATCAGAAACCATAATACATGAGCAAAAGGTCAATGAGACAAAAAAATGCCCAAAAAAACCAATTTTAGATTTAAAAAAAAAGTCTACAAAAATACCATGGAGTTCTTTTGTGTTGATCATCTGCTGCTGGTCCTTAAGTGTGGTTGCCTTAGACTTTCTTTTATTGCTGTGAAGAGACACCACGCCCAAGTAGCTCTTAAAAAATAAAACATTTAACTGGGACTTGCTTACAGTTTCAGAGACTTAATCCATTTTTATCGTGGTAGAAAACACAGTGGCAAGCAGGCATGGTGCTGGAGCAGTAGCCAAGAGCTGCAGGCTGATCTGTAAACAGAGAAGCGGGACCTCGGCACGGGCTTTTGAAACCTCAAAGTCTAACTCCAGTGACAGTTTCTCCAAGTCCAGTAAGACACAACCTCCTGATCCTTCTACTCCTTTCAAACAGTGCCATCCCTGCTGGCTAAGCATCCTACTCATACTACCACAGTGGTTAATATACCTCGTGAGACTTCAATGGAGAAAACTAGCTTTTCCTTTGCAAGCAGATATCAGTTGGAGATAGTTTCTTGCTCAGGGCTGTACGTCTGTTTCCATTTCCTCCTCCTCAGTGTGGAGTCCTATCTGCCGGCACCTGTGCAGGCCCTATACCTGCTGCCACAACAGTTCTCATGCTTATCATTGCTGCTGTACCTGGAAGACACTGTTTGCTCTTAAAATCTTTCCACCTTTTCTCCCCATAGCCCCCTGGCCCTGGCAGCACAATGAAGACACCACTTAGGAATGAGAGGTCCAAAACCCACATTCCCTGCACATTGACCAGTGTAGTTCTCTGGGTTTGTTCCCATCTACTAAACTGCAAGAGGACGTTTCTCTGATGATGGCTGGGGGAGGTGCTTCTCTATGGGTACAGCAGAATGTCATAAGGACTCATCTGATTACTGTGTTACTTTAGCAGAACAATAGTATGCCTGGTCTCAGGTTCTTGCCCACCAGAACAGTGTTGCATATGGGCTCCATTTCATGGAGTGATCAATTACTCCCACAAAGTTTGTGCCATTATTGCACCAGCATATCATGGAAGCAGGTCGCCATTGTAGACCTCAGGTTTTGTAGCTGGCTTGGTGGTCACCTTTTTGCCTCTGGAAGCACTGAATAACATTTTTTACCTACTTGATCTCCAAGAAGATTGTAGGCTCAAAGTTTATGTGTGTTTTTAATTTTGTAGACGTTGTCAAACTGTCTGTCATTCAAAAAATGTCTTCAGTTTGCATTGCCAAAACTTCATCGTTATTGTCAATTTATTTAAACACGAAAGAAATAATAGTTTATGGCTGGGTTTAATTGCATATTTAATTAATAATGAAGATTAGTCTTTTGTATATTTATTTGCAGATGCTTTCAGGAATTTGTAGAACGCTTTTTGCTTTCTATTGAATATTTTTGTACATGAAAAGCTATTTTTGGGTCAAAGCTTTCAAATGTGTCAACTGTTTTATTTATTTTATTTGCCAGTGATACTATTTGTCCCTTGTAAGGGTAACACATGTGTGAGAAGCAGAAGCTTCCACTGAGGTTTCATTTTCATTCAGCTCCCGTGTCCCGCCCTATCCTCACACTAGGGTCCCTCTAGAGAACGGGTGTCTGTCGACATCTCTCTGACTGCAGACCATTTTGGAAACTTCTTCTGTGAGGCTAACAATGTGCCTAAGGCCCCGCACAGTAAGGAAGTGACACTTTTTTAAAGCACTGGTAAATCTCTCATGCTCAAGCCAGACGGGACCAGAACATATGCTTCAACACACAGAGCTCATGATGAGTGACCAGGAATGCCAAGACAAGTACCTGAGCTGATGGTTCCCTGCACCCTTACACTCCGAAGTGGTTCTTAATTGGTGCAGCCGAGTGGGGCTTTAGGGAACATCTGGGAACTTCCAGCTCATCAGCGCTGCCTCTCCTCTCCGGCCACAATCTGTCTTGACCCTTAGCCTTTCCTTGGGCACAGAGACGCAGTACCAAGACAAGCTTCCTCACCAACAAACAAGCAGAGCAGAACTGTCTCCTGCGCCGCAGCCTCAGGACTTCTGCTCACAAAGGTTCCTCTCCTCCCCGATGCCAAAACACCAGTTTGAAGACTCAGAGTCATTCAAAACTGCACACCTTTTCCTGGTCTTATGTTTGGGTGCCCTCTGCTCCCCAGACACAACCAAGAACAGAAGAGTTCCTGTGGCTGCTGGAGTCACCGGGGGACTGCTCGCCGTGGCTGGCACGGCTGCTGGTGTGCTGTTTTATTGCTGGTTCTCTAGAAGAGCAGGTGGGTGGCTCCCTAACCGTGCCCTTCCTATCTTGACTCTGGTCCTGCATGCCCACACTGACTATGTGGCCATCCCTCGGCTCTCATGAGCGCCTCCTCCTCCATCACACGATCCCTCACCCTTCTCTTCGGTCCTTCAGAAGTCCTGTTTACCAAATATAAAGTTGCTCAACCACATCGAGAGCAATATGGCTCGATGGGATGTCATTTGTAAAACCTCAGAAAGGGCGGAGGCTCTGTGTTCATAAGATTTCCTAAGGAATGGGAAGAAGAAAAGGACTCTAAGAGATGGAAATCAAAACAGAACTCAAATAGAATTTGGTCCTTTGCTGCTTTTTTAAAATGTGTAGCAGTTTTATAGATGATCAGGTCTATTTTCCTGTCTGAGGCTATTAAACTCTCTGTAGTCATTAATGACCACTGCCATTTCAAACCCAGGTTAATGGGGGACAGATTAAGAAGTTTCCTTTCCCTTGAGGCCGGCATCAATAATTCAGTTGTTTCTACTGCTCCTCCATCCATCAGCAAAGCAAAGACTCAAATCTCAGTAACGGAAGTTCCTGGCAGTCTCTGTGTGAGCCGCATCTGAGCTGTCCCCTAGTCCCCACAAAGGTCCCCTCTTCCTAAAACACAGTGTCTTCCTTTACAGGGGGAAAGTCTGCCTCTGGTGACTCCAGGTAAGAACATGGCCTTATTTCTGGAAGTAATGAAACATCCATGGGACAAAAAAAATTAAAACAAATCTTATTATCACTAAGAGCACAATTTCTGCAGTGTTGCTGAGGTGGGTTGTGCCCAACTGATGCTGCTCCTCCCTTGGGTTATCTCCAGCACATTCCCTGAAGCTCTACCTTAGCGACAGACAGCTAATCCTCCTTCCCACGTCAAGTAGCAAGTGTTTCTCATTTATTAACCCACTTCCTTATACCACTGTTAGCTTGGCATCTAAATGACCACTTTGGCAGCTAACAGGGAAATTGAGGTTCCCTTTGGGGGTTCTTATTCTCATTAATAAAAGAATTTAGAAGCAAGTTCAGAAGGAAACTCAGTAACAGTTTTATTAGAATTTAAGAAAAAAATATAGACAGGATAGGTGAAAATCCTGGTGCTACCAAGGTGGGCAAAGTCAGGCCTTTTAAGGTGAGCAGCATGGCATAGAAATCGTTTATTAAAAAAATAAATATCACACCCAAGAATGGAAGTAGGCTAGTGAGCAGAGAAAAAAGCCCAAAAGCCAGCCGACCATGTGGTAGATGGTCTTTAGAACCCCTCCCTCCCATTTGTAAGTCTTGGGCTACGTTTCATACATATTCTCTTTGTTGGATAATGCCAAGGTGAGTAAGGGCTTCTAGTCTTCCTCTGCAAACTTGGCTACTTTCACAATAATCATGAAAGTGCTTTTTTAGTCATTTTTCTCCTATCACAGAGACATTAACTTCATCCATATCCTAAGGTGATATAGCTTAATTAGCCTAGAAATCTGTGGGCATGGCTGGCATAGTCAAAACCCACGCCAAGAGATGTGACTCTGTCAACAAATAGTGTCTGTGGAGAAGTGGCCACCAGCCTGCATCCTGAAGGCTCACAAACATGCCACCTCCCATGGTGGCTGTGTCCAAACCACCAGAGTTCCTTGGAGCCTAGCTGATCTTTGTTTCTCTGAGACTGGTACCTCTGAGAAGGGTGTCAGGCCTGTTTTAAGTCTTGGCTCTTCCCTTCTAGTTTAATGGTGTTAGCAAGTTACTTAGCTTTATAGAATGTCCATTTCTTACACATATAAACCGGAAACAATGCAATAAATATATCTAAGCACTAGCTGGGTGCCTCTTACATACCATGTGGCCATAAACCTAAAAAAAAAGGAATAATGTTGACTGAAAACCTATTAAATGGATGATCTCACTTCCTGACAAACATCAGTGTTTCTATATCTTACAGGAACCCTTCATATTCAGAATCCCAGGAGCCCACCTATTACAACGTACCAGCCTGTATAGAACTGCAGCCAGTATACAGCAATGGTGAGAACAAGGGCTGTCCAGTCTCTGCTTTGGCAGAAATCACAGGATACATATTAGAACAAGGTCAGGAAGATGGTAAAGCCTCGAGGACTATAATCCTTCCATAGAGCAAAATGGCCAAGGGAGGGGCACGTAGCTGAGAAAAGAGGCTGACTCCTTATCCTCTGACACTTTATCTTCTTCCTAAACAGACCCTAAAGGAGAAGTGATTTACACAGAAGTGCGTTGCGCCCTACAGAGATGTAAGCATGCAGGTAAAATCTAGGGAAGTCTCCATTCTTTGCTATTGCTCAGCCTCCACTTCCTCAGCAGGTCTGGGCCAGTCAGGCACAGAGCCTCTCCTCACCAGCTTCCTGGGGTTTCTTACCTTGCACCTACAGTGTCTGAAACTAATCCAAAGCTACCATACAGCACTGCCTTCTCCGTTGCCCGTGAACGAGCTCAGGATGACTGTTAAAAAATCATCGTATAGCTCCCCCTCAGCTTCTGTGTCTGCACCTACAAGGTGGAATGGGGCTGTCGTCCCTGATTTCCTAGTTTGGGCAGCTAAAACATAGCACTGTAGATTGGGCAGCTGAAATAACAAATATTTGTTACAGTTCAAAAGTCTGAAAGACCAAGACCAAGAAACCAGATGGCTGAATGAAAAATAAAGACAGGTCTGCTCGAAGGTAAGGTTGAGGGGAGGGTTTGTCACAGATATAAGAGAGAACAGCCAGAGGCATCTGGAAGAGTCCAGACTGAACATGGCCAGCAGACTGAACTGAGCCAGGGGGAGGTGGCCATCCAGGGAGGACAAGCGGACTGAGGAGATCCAGGAGCAGAGTCAGCCAGGAGCTAAAATGGCTGGGTTCTACAGGAGAAAAGAGCAGCCAGGGGAAGGGACAAAACCCAGGGGCGGGAGAAGTATAGGGTATGACTTGGATATGCCAGCCAGAATGACTCTGTCCCTACTTGTGAGTAGGGACCAAGAAAGACTGGTAACCAGAGTCCACTTTGGTATGTTAAATAGGCACCTCGGTTACCCATTTGTCCTGAGTTTCTTTGAAATTGAACATCCCTGCTTTTTGTTGCTGAGAAGGGACAGCATCCCCTCTTCTATAACTACTTCTAGCTGAAATAGGGGAGTCGTTGGGGACCCGGCTGGAATGATGGTCACAGCCAAGCAGGACAAAAAGAACGCAGGCTGGAAGACAGTTGTTTTGCTTGCTCTTACTGTCCAAGTTCAGAAGGACCATCTGGGGCTCGTGAAGAGCAAGCTGCTTTGGAGCAGTCTAGGACACAGGTTCCAAGGAACATCTGGGGCTGGAGCTTTGCAGGTAGTTTTGGAGCTGTCTGACTCTTCAGCTGACTGGAAATCTGCTGGGACAGACTAGGGACCTAAGGTAAAGTTAAGGAATTTAGGAGAATTTTTATCTTAGCTGTACACTCGAAACTTCCATGCCCATGGTCTTGGTAATTGGAAGAGGGAAGAAGTCCCAAGACCAGGGAAATGGGAAGCCCACCCTCAGGTGGGGGAAACTTAGTGTGTTGATTAACAGGAGTACTTATCTGGAGTACATAAACTTTGGCCTGTAACAGGAGGATACAGTCATGACTTCCTGAAGCTTATAAGAATTTTTTAATTTTAAAAAAGATAAAAGTTTTAGACATTTTAGCATTACCACTGTTCTGAAATCCACATTGTAGAAAAAGTAGTAGACTCACACCTTCAAGTCAGAGTAAAAGCTTGGGGACCCCAAAATATTATTCTAGGTTAAAAACATTAACACTTTTCCTATATATCCAAGAAACTGGAAATATAGATTGGACAGAGATGTTTTCAGCATGATTGAGAAGCACTTTTAACTCTATATTTAGAAGACAACCAAGGAAGACTTAAATTTGAGCTTGTGACTATGCTAAGAGTAGCAGTGCTTACCAGAGCCTAGATTAACTGTGTATCAGAACTCTGCTGATTAATGGGAAAAGTCTGAACATTTCTAGACTTAGCATGATAACAGCATACTGAGGGTAAGGATGCTGAAGCATTTGTCATCCCTTTAAACTGCCTTCTCATATCTTTACGATTTGCACTGATACACATTAAATTACTTTCTTAGACCCTCATAACTTACATAAACTTAGAACTTTTTCTTTTCATCTAATTATTTGCCATAAGGCACGGGTGCTTGGTTCCTGAGAGATGTCATTGCAAGGCAGGTTCCTTTAAATGAAGGAATAGTAAAAAGCTACATTGAAACCTGTTGTGAGTGTATCTTTTTATCAGTGTGAGGTCTACCAACAAGGTAAACTGTGCCTGTGTCTGCCTTTCTCGGCAGGAAACCTAGTAACTCTAGGTTGCCTGATTTTATATATGAAATGAATTGAACTGGCAGCTGCAGCATTGCAGGGAGGAGCTGGGTGCCTGTTGCTGCTAACATAAAGCTACAGTTAGCCATCAATATCATCAGAGACCTGCAAAGAATAAATTACAGCAGGAATTATAATCCAAATGGCTTAGTTATCAAGTCAAATGGCAGAGACTTACTGCTGGATGGTTATCCTCGGCTCCTGTGGTATTTGGGTGTTGAGGCTAGAAGCAGTTGGTCTTTGGGTGTCACACAGGACAGACTACATTACAGCTTTGGCTGCTGCATGGAACAGCATTGGCCGTCAACTGCCAGACCCAGAAAATCTGAGAGATTTTTCTGTGGAGAAGGAGTTTGGAAAAACTGACCCACTTTGGCAAGGCAGAGTAGAGCAGTCAACCCAACCATGCCCGCAGTTTGGACAGAGTCCTGGCAGCAGGCAAGGCAGAGGGGCAGTTTTTCCAAGTGGTTAGAGTTACACTGATCCAGCTGAAGTTGCCTGTGCCCTGGCATCTTCTTTGGAGCCCTTAGGATTGCAGCTAGGCACTGGCGTTTCTGTATATCATGGGAAGATTTTTCCATTAAACAGTTAAGTGCCATATTCAGCAGATCTCTGAAGAGTTTGAGGATACCTGAGTTAAACAAAATTTGCTTGTTTTTAGTTACTAGTTTTAGACATAACCTTGAAAACAAATATAGGATAGTAAACAATGCTTATCTCTGTACATGAATTACATTTGTACTTAGCATGGCTTATGAGCGTAGTGCATTAAGGAGCACATTAAAAATTGATCATTTATAAGGTGGCTGAGCATTCACTTGCACATCTTAATTATCTTCAACGGTTTACAAGCTAGTATCTTTATAAGATCAGCATTTACAGCTTCGTCTCTGTTAAGTTTGAGCCTTAAAAAATTTGAGTGAAGATTTAATTGAAGATCCTTTAGCAACTAAATAAAACTTGAATCCATAGAGAGACTGAAAACTTTACAAAGCTATAGATACCATTCACATAGAGACTGGAAATCTTAATTGCCTTCATCCTTTCACAGTTTCATAGTTTTATATAACATACAGTTTTACAGAACATACAGTTTCTTGTATGACTCAGTTTATCCAAATAGTTAAAGTTTAGAAAAGTTAGCAAAGACAGAGAGGCTAGACACAAATCTTCAAGTCAGTTACTAACTGACTACTTGAATAGACCTTAGGAATTTATAAACCTTATTTATCAAACATATGCTGCTCCTTACTTAAAATTTTTCAGAAGCCTAGTATTGAGCAATTAGCAAAAAAAATAAGTGGTTAAACACGCATCTCTGAGTCATGTTCTGTTCACCTGAATAGACCTTTATAACCTTAGGAATTTATTATCACATAAAAATCCATCCTAATCCAAAATATTTTGTAGACCTACTGTTGCCTCCTTGATCTAAAAAGGAGATACAATATAATTTAATTGTAGGGCTCAGTAGGACTGATAAGTTTTATAAGTGTTGCTTTACAACACATGGTCATCTAAACCCAAATGGTGGTGAAGTTACATTGCACAAACTCTTTTTTAACCTTAGTAAAGATGGCTGTCAGCCATATAGTTGCTATTTTAAGACATCTATTTTCTAGTAGATCTAGTTTTTAAACAAGAGTTGAATCCAAGTTACATGTACTACCCTTGACAGTCCTTGGCAGCATGCCAAAGCACTGTTAAGAAGGCTGGCCAGGGAGAGGAGGGAGGGTGGCAGGGACCTCACTGAACAGGACCCTGAAATATCCAAGCAGCACCCACATTTTAATCTCCCTTTCTTTTGACAGTGGCCACAAATACAGTGAGTCTGCGATACCTGTGGCTCCCCCTGAGGACCTGCCAGCTCTGCTCTTACCCTGATGCTGTGGCCTCTTGGAGTCTCCTGTTATCTACTCTCAGGTGAAGCTGGCAAGTACCCTGGCTCCTGGGATGCAGAAGTCAACCTTCTCAGCACTCAGATGAGTTCACAAATCTCCCAGCTCCTGCCTCCACAGTGCAGCCCAGCATTCTCCGTGGGAGAGAGGGCACACTGCTGTGGACTACAGTGCATCCTGAGCTCTGTGCACCAAGTGGCCAGGACTCGGAGCCCTCCTGGATTCCCACCTGTCACTAGACCAAGTACTGCACATGGTATTTTTTTAGTCTAGTATTATTTTTTTATCTAGTGATAAGCTGCTCTTGACCTAGGGAAAGTCATATGTACTGGCTTCCTCAATGAGCTTCAGTTTTGATGGCTGTTGCTTCTCCGCGATTAGAACTGTTTGACTGTAGCTGGAAGTCATGATCTCAGGGTGTCAGCCTAAGGCCCTCAGTACTGCTCTACCAAGTGGGAAGCAATGGACAATGGACTCATAATGAACTCTTTACAGCAGAGCTGCATTTCACAATCTTTTCATTGTTTGAACTTAAGGTCTGTACCTGATATTGGTGTAACTCCTTTCCCGCTCAAGAGCTAACCACCCAACTCAAATGAATACCCCATACCCTAAGCCTTTCCAAACTTGACAAAAGGAACCCCATAAAGTCCAGATTAGGAGCACCAAGGACAAGCTAATGCATCTTCAGTCATAGAAAGTGCTATGTAATTGTGAATGAAGAATGACGAAGAAAGCAATATTGGACTCTATGTGCCTCCCAAGAAACTCAGAATCACCCTGTTCTTTCTTTCCCCTGAGTGAGAATGAGAGAAAATCTGGGTGGGAAATCCTGTTCACCAGGAGTTAAGGCTTCAGATCTCCATGTGCTTATGATCACCCAAGAACCTTCTGGACATGAAAGAGCTCGCCATCCGGACCTGGGTAGAACCTGAGACTTCATCTCTAATAAGCTTCCATACGGTGCTGATCCTTTAGTCCTGGGATCATACTGACAGCTGGGGCTCCATAGGTCTTGACAGAGACTAATGAAGCAGATCTGGTTACCCTCTGACAAACGCCACAGGGCGTGTTCACAAGGATAACACTCACATTCAAAGTCCCTGAACCATCCTCTGGCCAAAACCACTGTGGTGGTTTGAATAAGGACGCTTGGTCATCAGGGAGTAGCACCATTTGAGAAGGACTAGCAGTTGTGGGCTTGTTG